AGAAAAAATCTAAAAATATTAAATTAACAAAAATATTATATTATATATATTTTAAGTGATGAGACATTTTCCCGAAATATAATAATACATTTATATTGTATATCGCTTTAAAAGGTACTTTACGTGGTAAAAACATAAACAATGAAAGCAACAACAATATAAACAAGACAGATAGACGTCATTATAATAAAAACAGAAACATACATAACTAGCATCACAGGTTAGAAAATAACACATTTAATAATTAACAGCGTGTTTCTAAAGCTACACACAGAAAGATTAATAGAGAATTAGTACAAACAGCGTTCTGTTTATCAGCTGGAAACACATTAAACTCATCAAACCCTCAGAATGAACTCAAGGAATGAATCAGGCATCTCAAGGACCTCCTTAAGGACCCTAAGACCTCCCTCACTCCTTCATTAACCCTTTAACACCAGCTCTGCTCCCATGATGCTCTTTGTGCCCACAGCTGCTCATCAGTCGACCTGGTTTTGAATGAATCTTTATTGATCGTTTCAGACGAACAGGAAGTGTCCGGTAACATCATCTACACGGTGGAGCTGCAGCGGTATGGAGGCCCGCTGGGAATCACCATCTCCGGCACCGAGGAGCCGTTCGACCCCATCATCATCTCCTCGCTGAGCAAAGGAGGGCTGGCCGAGAGGTACCGTACTCTGATTACATTCACCGAGTACATCTTCAACACTCCGGTGTGTACTGCTCAGGGAAAGAAACGGCTAGTGTGCAATAGAGCGTCTGTATTCTGGCGACACTGTTGTTGAGCATGTCGCCCTCTGCTGGTAATAAAGAATATAACACTATATTATTTATTTATTATTTACTGCTATTATTTAAAATCATTTTGTTTAGGGTTATTCACCTTGTGTGTGTGTGTGTGTGTGTTGAAGGACCGGTGCGATCCATGTCGGCGATCGTATTCTGGCGATCAACAGCAGCAGCCTGAAGGGGAAACCTCTGAGTGAAGCCATCAGTCTGCTGCAGCAAGCAGGAGAGACGGTCACACTGAAGATCAAGAAGCAGGGAGACTGTACGTACACACACACACATATACATATATCTATATATAGATATATGTATATATATATATGCCTGAGAATCCTCACGTTTTTACGTTTCTTCAGTATCATAGTATCCAGTGATAGTTGACTGTACATTAATGGATACATTGCAAACAGCACTTACTAATAGATGATTCGGCATTCTTTTAATGGTGATAATGTACAAAATGTAAACAAACGGGACGAATAACAACGTTTTCTCTCTCTTTAGTGTCGAGCCCAAAGACTTGCATGATTGGTCCAGGCCTGGGGATGGGGGCGGGGCTTGTCCACGAGCACCAGGACGGGGTGGACGAGCCCGTCGTCATGGTGGCGCCGCTGTCGAGCCAGCGAGCGTTCAGCACGCTGCCGTCTGTGGACAGCGCCGTGGAGTCCTGGGACGGGTCCAACATGGACGGCAGCTTCACCACGACGGGTAGGAAGCAGTCAGGAGAACAGTGGAACACAGTATAACCTGTCAGTGGAACACAGTAGAACCTGTCAGTAGAACCTGTCAGTGGAACACAGGAGAACCTGTCAGTGGAACACAGTAGAACCTGTCAGTGGAACAGCAGTAGAACCTGTCAGGAGAACAGCAGTAGAACCTGTCGGGAGAACAGCAGTAGAACCTGTCAGTGGAACACAGTAGAACCTGCCAGAAGAACAGCAGTAGAACCTGCCAGAGGAACAGCAGTAGAACCTGTCAGTGGAACACAGTGGAACGCAGTAGAACCTGTCAGTGGAACGCAGTAGAACCTGTCAGTGGAACAGCAGTAGAACCTGTCAGTGGAACACAGAGGAACACAGTAGAACCTGTCAGGGGAACAGCAGTAGAACCTGTCAGTGGAACGCAGTAGAACCTGTCAGTGGAACAGCAGTAGAACCTGTCAGTGGAACACAGAGGAACACAGTAGAACCTGTCAGTGGAACGCAGTAGAACCTGTCAGTAGAACAGAAATAGAACCTGTCAGTTGAACCTCTCAACATCGTATTAATGTTATTATATTTTTATGTTGTTATATTTTCTCCGTGTGCAGCGCCGCCATTTCAGTCGTCTCCGTATAGTTTCCACGAGTGGCGCAACGCCAAGACGACCAACAGCCAATCATCTTCCTCCGCTCGCCAGAGAGCCAATCCGCTGTCAGATCTGGGCCTGAGCGACGATGACTGGGACCGCCCACCACTCAGAGGGTGAGACAGTTAACTTATCATTTCTGGAAGAAACGTGTAAATATATTTAAACAGGTTTGTATCTGTTTGAATGACTCGAATAAAGAATACAAGGTATCGGTTACAAAATCAATATATATATACATTATATACATAAATATATATATATTTCTACTTTAATAATAATAGCCAAGAAATGATTCCATTTATTTCAACAGATATAAATGTTAACAGAAAATACTGCACTGGGGAATAATAAATATGCAAATCAATCCATCAAAAAATAAGCAATTCATCAAAAAATAATACATTATATTTATTTATTTAAAATAAATACATTATATTTATTTATTTAAAATAAATACATTATATTTATTTATTTAAAATAAATACATTATATTTATTCATTTAAAATAAATACATTATATTTATTCATTTAAAATAAATACTTTATATTTATTTATTTAAAATAAATACTTTATATTTATTTATTTATTTAAAATAAATACTTTATATTTATTTCTTCATTTAAAATAAATACATTATATTTATTCATTTAAAATAAATACATTATATTTATTTATTTAAAATAAATACATTTTAATTATCTGTTTAAAATAAATACATTTTATTTCATTTTTTTCTATTTCTGTTCATATTTATTTATTTTCAAATATACCAGATTTATTTGATATTTGAGTTTTTTTATTATTTATTTTCTTTCTTTATTATTTAATTAATTTAATTGTTTAGCAATTCATTTATTATATTGCCACTTTTAATCCTCCTTACAATTAGCGTGTTAGCGTTCCTTATTCAACTCAGTGGGAGTTGCTAGCAGCGAGCTAACAGCAGCAGTAACAGCAGTGTGTCTCTGTCTGCAGAGGCTGTAATCTGCCCAGCGGTCTAATCACTGACAGCAGGTACCTCACTGACCTCTGACCTCTGCCCCCCCCACAGTCCTCTGTCACTCACCTGGTGACCCCAACCCCCCCCCACAGTCCTCTGTCACTCACCTGGACCTGGTGACCTTTGACCCCTGACACATGTTGTCCCTCACAAGTCTCACCGGCATGACCTTTTCTTCTCCAGCCTCCTCTGTGTGTATGTGTACATGACATGTGACCATGATGTTGTTCTCTCTGCTTGGCTGACCTGTGACATGTGACCCCAGGTTCACTGTGGGACACGATGGAACAGAACCGGACCAGGAGGAGAACTTCTGGTCTCAGGCTCTGGAGGATCTGGAGACCTGCGGCCAGAGTGGCATCCTACGAGAGCTGGAGGTGAGTAGTACTGAAAGATGTAGTATGATAGTAGTAGTAGTATGATAGTAGGAGAGTAGTAGTAGTGGTATGATAGTAGAGTGAGAAGTACTAGTAGTACTAGTAGTAGTATTGGTTGTGTAGTAGTGTTGAGGTCTTATATCAGAACAGACTTTTATCAATATCTTACTTTGACAATTTTACACTTTTTTCACTTTTTTTCTCAAATGAATGTTTGACTAAATCAAAGCAGCTGTACATGAACTGTTCCTGAATACAACATTCTTCTTTAAATACAAGTCGTATACGACTCGACACACTGCAGATGAACTTGGTGCTACTGACTCATTTTGGGCCGACTGATCAATGAAAATTAATGTCACAATAAATAAAGATGTTTCTGACATCAGGGCTGTCACTTTAAATCAACTCTTAAAATACATTAAAATTAAAATACATTTTTAGTACATTTCTTGTACTTCAAATATAACGTTACCAGTATACTACTATCAGATACTTAATACTTAATCAATGAAGCCGTAAATGTTGAGTTATTGAGCTGAAAAGAGAAATGACTCCTTCTCTTCCAGGAGGACGGAAAGGAAGCGCATCTCCTCACTCTGGTATCCTCCTCCCTCCTCTCCAGCTACTAACTCCTCCTTGCTCTCCGTCCTCTCCTCTCCTCTCCTCCTCTCCTCTCCTCCTGTCTTCTCCTCCTCCTCTCCTCCCCTCTTGTTTTAGCGTTGTCTAACATCAGACATGTTTTTTTAATGTGCCTCTAACCACCGGCAGCAAAGCTACACAGACCATGGTGACGTCATTGTAACATTTCAGTGACATCACCCGGCTTCTGACCAATCACGTGGCAGAGTCACGTTGCACCGGGCATGGCAGTTTGAGCAAGGCATGCTGCGAGAGCTTGTGCAAGGCCTGATGGGTAGTTTTTGTCGGTCATGAAGTCACGCATGTGTCTGACGAGTCCTTGATTCTGATTGGCTGACGAGCGTTTATTAAGTAGAATTGGAGCAAAATAAAATAAGAAATAAAATATGTTTAAATACTAAAACATCAGGTCAGAAGTTCCTGCCAGTTGTAATAACAGTAAAAGTGTTGATTCAGACCAAACCATCGTAGAATCCATCAGTAGATCTGTTGATAGAAAGAACAGCAGTAGAACCTGTCGGTAGAACACAGTAGAACTTGTCAACTGTTTTATTTTTGATTGACTCTCTGTGATTGGATGTTTGTGATTGACTCTGTGATTGGCTGTTTTTGATTGACTCTCTGTGATTGGATGTTTTTGATTGGATGTTTGTGATTGACTCTCTGTGATTGGATGTTTTTGATTGGATGTTTGTGATTGACTCTCTGTGATTGGATGTTTTTGATTGGATGTTTTTGATTGGCTGTCTGTGATTGGATGTTTGTGATTGACTCTCTGTGATTGGATGTTTTTGATTGGATGTTTTTGATTGGCTGTCTGTGATTGGATGTTTGTGATTGACTCTCTGTGATTGGATGTTTTTAATTGACTCTCTGTGATTGGATGTTTTTGATTGGCTGTCTCCAGGCGACCATCATGTCCGGCTCCAGCCTCAGTCTGAACCATGACCCCACCCCCCTGCGCAGCACTCTGGGACGCCAGGCGAGCTTCCAGGAACGCAGCAACTCCAAACCACAGGTAACCAGGACTGACCTCTGACCTCTTGACTGTTACACCTGCGTTCTATCTCTAAAGTGAATTATTAATTGTGCCTTTTCTCAGGTGTCCAATCGGTCCAACACCTTGCCCTCTGACCCCCAGCGCCGGGCCTTTGCCATGAGGAAGATGAGGCAGGAAGTCAATGAGATCCTGAACCACAACCCTGTGGAACTCCACAAGGTGACGTATGAACCCTTCAAAGGGACCGGATGTAAATCTACTTCCTGTTATCCTAACGTAGTGTGTGTGTTTGCAGCTGACTCTGGAGAAGCTCTCGGATCTGGAGGACTTTGGGTTCAGTGTTTCTGACGGTATGTTGGACCGTGGCGTCTACGTTAACAACATCCGACCGGGGGGCCCGGCAGAGCAGGGTGGCCTCCAGGCCTATGACCGAATACTACAGGTACAAAAACATGAGTATCTGCATCCACGCTAGCACCTCCGGTGAGGCTACTCGTGAACCATATACGTTCTATGTCTTCCAGATTAACCACGTCCGGACCCGGGACTTCGACTGCTGCCTCGTGGTTCCGCTGATCGCCGAGTCTCCGAACCACCTGGAGCTCGTCATCAGCCGAAACCCCGCCTCCTCCTCGCTGCTGGCCAACCACACCGACAGCATCACCAACAGCGGCCACTCCCCTCAGCCAATCGGCGGCGATCTGGGACCTTCGGAGTTCTCGATTGGCCCGGGAGAGGACGGCTGTCCGATCAAGTGGAGCCAACCGGGAGACGGGCTGGGGGCGGGGTTTGGGATGAGTCAGGTGAATAATAAATCCGTATAGCAGACAAAACTGGATGAAACTGGATTAAACCGGTTCCAACCAGATTGGACTGGAGAACGGTAATAAAGAACTAATGGAGAACTAATAAAACTGGTTTAGATCCGTCCAAACCCCCCATGGTGCTACACACACCCTCTGGATGATCTTTGACCACTAAAGTTTGATCTTTGAACTGCTAAAGCAGCCTGAAAGCACACTGATGGACCGGAGCAACACCTCACCTTTTCACTTGAACCAGTTCTGCATACTGGTCCTACTGGTGTCACTGGAACCAGAACTATAACTACTGATCCTACTGGAACCCCAGCAAGAGCTACTGGTCTAACTGGTTACTGGGTACTGGTTCTACTAGCCCAGAGCCATGGCTACTGATTCTATTGAAGGCGGAGCCACAGCCGATGGGTATACTGGTTTAAGATTAATGGGCTCTGGTCTTAGTGGTTACAGAACCATGGCCCTACTGAGACCACAGCAAAAATTGGTTCTGGTCTGAGTCGTGACAGAATCATGGGTACTGGTCCAACAGAAGCCACGGCCAACATTGGCTCAACATTTGGTTCTTCTTGGTACAAATCCAGAACCATGACCACTGTCCTCTACGAGTCCAGAACTGGGACTCCTGGTCCATCTTACTCCGTGTCACTAGAATCAGAACCATGGCTTCTGGTTGCACTGGCCAAGGACCACAGCAGCACAAAGACTGATGGGACTCCAGAATCTAGAACCTGCTGATGGACAAACGGGTTGCCAAGGAGACTAGGGATGCTCCGATCAAAATATCTAGTGTCATTGATACTGATCACTGGTTTCTGTTCTTAAACATTGATTTCTGTCAAAGTCTTATTTGGGTTCTTCAAGTTATGGGTAGAAGTACCTTCATTGGCTCAGACGTTTGGGTTTAGTTTGAAGATAATTTAGTAAATTATGGTCTATTTAGAGTCAAACAGACCATAAAGCAGGGTATGCTTTAGGGCGGGGCTACACAGTGATTGACAGGTCTCTACCAGGGACGTATACGACGTCTCTACGTCACTCCTCCTCAGTCCAGATATGGTCACTTCCTGTTCACTGGTTGCAATAAAAACAACATGGCGACAGACGTAATCCAAGATGGCGACGGGACACTTCCTGTGCTTAGTCTGCCAGAAATTAAAAGAAGAAGAAGAAGTCTAAACAAAACAGACTGGGTCTATTCCTTGTCATGTTCAAAGGAACCAAATCGCCCCAAGATGTTTGACGCACTTACATATATTTCTATTGTCTTGTGCTGAACAAATCCAGTGATGTTAGAACCATTAGCTCATAGAATGCTATCAGGCTAGCAGCATCAGCAATATTTTTGAGTAAACTTGGAAAAAAAGTCCTTAAATTGCTGGAAATTTGAACATTGACAACTGGGCAAACCCAATCTGCTGAGGAAGATCTCATGACTGTTTCTCAACTAAATTTAAACCGACTTTTCACAGAAGAAGTTTTTGTTTTTTTGCATTAGTATCGACACATTTGTAAGGATACTTAGCCCTGATGGTGGAAAACATTGTTTCATGTTTTTGTTGTTATTATTAGTAAATTTTAAGACAAAAATCTAGAAATCAGCTGATATTGATCGGAGCATCCTTAATGAAAAACGACAGAGGGATTACTGTTTAGATTTATGTTCTGTGCCATGAATGAGCTGCAGACAGGAAGAGTAATAATAATGATGATGATGATGATGACACTGAGCAGTTCAATAAGAATCTTTTTCTACTGTTTACACCTGTTGGACTGGCCACACTGTGTGTATGTATGTATGTGTGTGTGTGTGTGTGTGTTTGTATGTTGTGTGTTAAACACAAGGCCAGTTAAGCCCCTCCCACCTCAAGTCCTTGTCTTGGCTTTGCCCCGCCCCCCACCCACTCTTCTTCCCACGACCAATAGGCAGCCAGGATGACAGACAGACAGACGGCAGTTCTGAGAGATTCAGCTGATTGGCTGGAACCAATCAGAAAAAAAAAAACTTCCCTGCCCGTCTGTGATTGGTTCTCCTCGACACACAAGCCAACCAATCAGCTACCAGGAAGAAGCCAAGCATGCCCCTACCCAGACTTCCCT